CCAAAGAGAGTAAGCACTTTTTTTGTTTTTTGATGTAAAACACATGTGATAACTGATTAACTGCATCTTATTCTCTTATTGAAATTTGAAACTTTTTGTTAGGTGGAAAGTCATTTGTGCTCATGGAAGTTAAGCCATGGGATGATGAGACTGACATGAGGAAATTTGAGGCGTGTGTCCGTGCTGTTGAGATGCAAGGTCTCTTATGGGGAGCTTGTATGTCCGCTATCAAAATGAGCTTAAGTTTTGAATTATATGTGTAGGACAGCTTCCTAATCTAGTGTTTTCTATTGTTTAAACTGTTGCAGCAAAGCTGGTAGTGGTTATGGGATCAAGAAGCTCACTATCATGCTCACAATTGTTGATGACCTCATGTCCCCAAACAATCTCATTGAAGACTACCTCACCTGTGACCCTAACAACGAGTACATCCAGAGTGTTTACATCGTCGCATTCAACAAGATCTAGAGACTCTAAATCTCTCTCTTCCAAAAATATATTTCCTTCCAAGTTATGTGTTTGTATTGTTAGATTCTTCTTTTCTAGTTGCAACTTGCAAGACCCTTTTCATGTTGCAAGAAACATCAAGTTATCAATGCTTACTATTCCTTTGCCAAAACTATTACTTCCAATGCCAAAATAGTTTTTTTTTATGACCAATCCATTACAATGCAAGAAACATGAATAAAGATCACTGGTGGACAATTTGATGTATTGATCAAGTTAGAAGGTAAATAACTCAACTCCAAATCAACCAATTTGGTTTCTTCTATATTAAAATCCTCCAACACCATTCTCTTTAAATCCTCCAATGTAGAACTTGATTCCAATAACTGTAACCTACCCCTTTTTCATCAGCCGAAAACACCCATCCATCTTGTCCAGTTCAGTCGATCTTCCCCGATCGATCTATCATAGATCGATCGATCTCTATTTTAGATCGATCGATCCCAAACATTAGTCTATGGACATCCATATAAACCCACCCAAATTGATTAATGATCTTCGTAAGTTAGATTACATCTTTCGAATGACGGGATCGATCGATCCCAGAAAGAGTCGGTCGATCCCAACGGTCGATCTCGATGATTAAACAAAAACATAAAAAAGCACGGAGCAGAAACTGATCAACCTTGTCCAGTTCAGTCGATCTTCACCGATCGATCTATCATAGATCAGTCAATCTCTATTTTAGATCGATCGATCCCGACCCCAGATAATTCTTCCAATATTTTTTAGCATGGTTAGTATAGAATTGCAGGTTATGTTCTTAAGCTGAATATGATGAGTACAACAATATGTCAATTGTGTGCTTCTTTGTGTTATGTTTGGTTTAGTTATGTTCAAACATACGGAACTATAAACATCATTGCAAATCAAATGAAAAACATGATCATAATGTATGACAATGTCAATGAAAACAAATTTCAAACAATTTAGAACCAAAAGCATGCTTCATTCGGATTTTTATTCTTGGCTTTATTTGTTACACACAATCGAGTGGAGGCATTGTTTTTAACAAAACCAACAAAATTCTTAAGCTGTCGATCGTTTGCAATGATCAATGGTGGACAAGTTCATGTATTGATCAAGTCAGGAGGTAAATAACTCAACTCCAAATCGACCAATTTGGCTTCTTCCATATCAAAATCCTCAAACACCATTCTCTTTAAATCCTCCAATGTAGAATTTGATTCCAATAACTGTAACCTACCCCCTTTTTCATCAGCCAAAAACACCCATCCCATTGTAGTACTTAACTCCCATACACCACAAGTGGTATCGATATGCATCACACAGTAAAATTTGTGAAAAATCAAAAGAGAAACAATGGTGTCAAAAGTCATATCTTCATTAACAACCAAATTAACAACCAAGTATTCATACGCATGAGCGAACATAAAAATTTAGTTAGACAATGGCACATAAAATTTTAATTATGATTGGTAAGATAATTAATATAATACTAGGTGTTTTTCCCGCACATACGGGCATAATTTTCATCCAATTTATTATTAGTCTATATTTTATTAATTCAAACCAATATAATAAGTTATGATTTAAGTTTTAAAATTAATTATAATTGACAACACTCACATAACAAAATATTTTTAAAAATATATTTTTACAAATGTGTTGCTTTAATTTATTTTAATTATAACTTTTTTCTATCTTAATTTTTTATTTTTATAATAAAAAATATATTTTCAAGATAACAAATATAAAACATAAGAAGTATCTTATTTTCTCAAAATATAATTTTTAATAGAAATTCATTTTTATTTTATAATAAATTTTATATGAAATTATTAAAAATATGACAAATAATCAAAATTATCTAAATCATGGAGAAATTACAAATCAGATAACTCACTTAAATTTTCTGATAGAATATATATGTTCAACATAACAATCTAATACATAAGAATTATCTTATTTTTTAAATCTATTATTATTAGTATACATTCGTTTTATTATTTAATAAATTATATATGAAATTATTAAAATATGATAAATAAGAAAAATATAAAACCATGGAGAAGTTGATAAATCAGCATTGCTTTCTTTATATTTAGCTACTAATATTTTAACTTAATTTTAAATTTCTATGATTGTTTTTAAATATATTTTAAAGATAACAATATAATACATAAGAATTATCTTATTTTCTATAAGTCTAATACTATTAATAGAAATTTTATTTATTTTATGATAAATTATTCATAAAATTATTAAAAACATAACAAATATGCAAAATTACAAAAATCATGGAGAAGTTACAAATCAATCAGTAAATTCACTTGAATTTTATAATAGAAAAATAATATTTTTAAGATAACAATTTAATACAAAATAATTAACATATTTTCTAAAATATAATATTATTAATATCAATTCGTTTTTATTAAATAATAAATTGTATATGAAATTATTTAAATAAAATAAATAAACAAATTTAGCAAAAATCAAGGAGAAGTTAACAACTAAACAAATTTACTTCTTATATAATAGTATAGATATTTATGAAATATATGCAATATGATTTAAAAAATTAAAATTAAACTGAAATAGTTTATGACATGTGTCACATCCTCTTTAATGGTGAATCAGCCAGTGTCCATACGTTGGTGTTATTAGGGTGAAAACCTTAGATGTTCTTAATGAGGCAAAAAGTGATCTAACATACCCTCACAAAATCTGGAGTACTCTTATTTATTCTGATTCTCTCAAGAGTGGTGGCTAATGTCGAAAAAGGCCCATGATCGATTTAATGAATTCTTTAATGAATACGAATAATTCTCGAATATCTCCCTCCAAATTATTCTAAACTAATTGATATTCATCGAGCCGTCGTCGAGGAGTTCTTCTTCTCGAGTATTAGTCGAGTCCAGTCTTCTCAGAGCATTCCCTTGTTCTTCCTTGCATCTTATTGCGATATCGTCGCTTGGATGCAATCATTGAGCTTTTGATTCCGTGTAACAGGGTATGTATCTCAAATCGTCACAGGGATTTCGATTAGATAAAAAATTTCGTATTTGTGTATGAACTAATCGAGGAAGATCGGAAAGTTTGAATGGTCTACTTATTAAGGAATTTGATAATCAAAAACTGTATAATTGAATGTCGGGAATCAAAGGTTTTGTATTGAGAAGACCCGAGTCATTGTAACTGGAAATTTTTTATTCACTAATCGAAGATCATAAAGGAATGAAAGTGTGGATGGTATGTATGATTGAATGTCAGGAATGAAAGGACGATTCAGTCAAAGAAGATTAGACGTTGGGCGATTACTAATTGACTGCTGATACAACTGTGTAACATGGTGTAACGAAGTATAACTTTGATGGTATAATTGTATAACCAAGTATAACTTTAGGGGTTTAATTTTTTTTATATTGCAGACAGTGAGTCCTTTTTCGACGAACATACACTTTGATTATGATGGACATTATTCAAAGGATGGAGATGATTATGAAGGGATTCCAACCGATGCTCGTTTGTTTGCTATATCCTTTAAGACATCATCGTTGGAGGAGATCACTTATTCGTTGTTGAAGGAGAATATATGCAGGAAGATGGGAATAGATCCGTTTATGAAGAGGCTCAGTTTGGGTTACATCCCATTGATAGTGGAACCTAAGTGGAAATCATATATTTTGGATGATGAAGATGTGTTTGTTTATCTAACATCAGTGGATAGAGAGCAAAGAAAAAGTATTTTGCATGTGGAGGACATCGAAGAATTGCAAATAATTCAAATAACCGAGCAACTATCAAGAGTCGTGGAGAGCTCTTGTAGTAGGAACTATTGTGAGCGTGGGAGTGGATATGGAGAAGAAGAGAATGTGGGCACTGGTTTCGAACATGATGAACATCCCCACAAGAAATAGAAGAAGAGTAGGTTGTAAGCCTTTCAGTTGCAGTTTTGTTTTGGTGTGTTTATCTTATGGGAAAGTTGTGAGGGAATCAATTTGTATTTGTGTGTTGTATAACTAAGTGAAACTTGGTTTCTTTACTGGTATAACTACAATGGAAAAACTGAGTAATAAGTCACTGAAGTACTAAGATGGTTATTTATTGTTAATGTTATGTTAATTATGGTTAATCTGAATTATTAAAATTCCATCTTATTGTTTGGTCATATAAGTAATAATTTGTATTCGTGTATTGTATAACTAAGTGAAACTTGTTGTTTTCGTTACTGGTATAACTATGGTGGGAAAACTGAGTAATATGATTGTAAACTCTCAACTTCTTAATTTAATAAGTCACTGAAGTAATGATATGGTTATTTATTATTAATGTTACGTTAATTATGATTTGATCAGAAATATTAAAATTACATCTAATTTCTTGGTCATATAGGAAATACACTGTGTTATCGTAGCCTTTTGGCAAAAACTGACCTCGTTAGATTTGAAAACTTCGTATGGCACGAAATCAAGTTTATGTGTATATGATCGTCTGCGAAATGAATCTAGGAAACATAATTTAATTGGTGTAACCAAAAAATCAGCGATTCAAGTAGAGTATAACCAAGATAAACTGAAATAATTAAAAAGTGCAACTTTGATGATTTTCGTAAAATTAAAAACTTGGTGAAACTTACTACGAAAATCGCTGTGATAAATTTTCCCACCCAGCTTTTCGAATTTGGAATTTTTGAATTTCCCTCTTCCCAATTTGCTAAAACCCCAAGATCGTTTAATCGAAGTATTAAAGAAATTTTTTGGGTTTTCCCCCATTTGTTATATAACATTTTCTCTCTCTCAAATCATTCTCTCTCTCTCTCTCTCTCATTCCTCTCCTCGAACTCACAGAGAAATCGAGATGTCCACCGCTTCATCTTCCACGACCGGTGGTCGGACACGAGTACAAACTCCGGGAATACCTATGAAGTGCTGGTGTGGGGTGGGAATCACCGAGCTCATCTCGAAAAGCAAACCAAACCCATTTCGCCGGTATTATCGGTGTCTCTATGCGGCTTCACTATGGGTATTATCTGTTTACCTTTTACTTACTCTCGAAAGCTTACGAATTACGTTTACGAATTACGCTTACTCGTTTTGAAAATATCCATGTCGTAGCTTGAGAACGATAATCACGTTCTCAAATGGGTTGATGAAGCTCTCACCGATGAGATACAACAGTTGGATTGCCAAGTTCGAATGCTCGAAGAAGAAGTTAGACTTCTCAAAGCAACAATAAGGAGTGAAGGTCCGATGACGAGTTCCATGATATCTGGAGGTTGTGTTCTTCTTACAGTCGTTTTAGTTCTAGGAATTATGATGTAAAATAAGTAATTCCTGGAAAACTTTTATGTTATTGTTATGTTTTTTCTAAGTTAGACAATAATGTAACACCAACGAAATTCAACTTTGTCTTAAGTTTAGAAAGTTGAACAATTGATTAAGTGAAACTATAAATTTGGAATATAGAGAGATCGAAAATAGAACAATAGAGATAGTTTCACCAACATTAACACATAGTTTTATCGGAATTTAAACAAAGATGAATTCGACATTAAACATTTACACGAGACCTTCAACCCCATTTTTCTGAACATAAGGGTCGCTGTTTAGTAGAGACTGCGTGAATTCCTCAACCTCGGGAAAACGCGCATTGAACCTGAAGTCCGCAAATCCACCTTCGGTCTCTAGCCATATTTCAGGAGGACCAAAATAACCTGTATAATTGATTTTAGTAAAAGTTCTACTCAACTATCATATTTAAAACTAGTCACAGAAACAACACTTACACATAAATTCCAGACTCTCCACATCTTAAGGGCCACAATCACCTGTCTACGACCCCCACCACTCATGTAATCAAGACCATCCCGAATGGCATAGACCTGATCACCGGTCACCACACATTTTATCTGATGGTCACTATTCAGAATAAAGAAAAAGTGGGTCAGTTACAATATATATATTTTGCTTGGATCATATGTTACTTTATACTCACATGTTGTCCCTTATGTAAAACTCCATCCTTGGTCCTGAAGGGGCATCGAGATAGGCTTCCGTGTTGAAGACCACTCCCATTGTATCTACCATATAAGTGTTGCTCAACTAAATCAGTTCGTTTCACTTACATCTACAGAGTTATAGAAAGTTCTGAAACCAAGATATGCGACTGTTGAGATTACCAACATACCTATGGGATATCTGAGGTCACGCCAGTGCATGCGAGGGATTTCATGGATGCTTTTGAAGTCCAAGAAAAGACGACTGTTCAGAGCTTC